TAGAGCGTGCGGACATTGAACGCGGCCAAGTGAAAAGGGGATTTTGGTTTTAAAACCCTATAGCCTCTGAATCTCTGGCCTTGGTTGTAAAACGCTGAATGATATTCGATGAGTGGCGTAAACAGGAGGCATCTGGGATTAATCGAGGTTGAGAAGCAGAACTAGTCAGAACGGAAGGATCGTTTTCCAAATGCCTAAGACTTCAGGGCACGGACTATTTCGCGTTAGCCCACACCGACGAAGGGGTTTTTCTTTGGGAACCCTAACTGGAGCCTTCGACTCAAGAGTTTGACCCACAAGACAGTGGGGCGTAAATCCAACGCCGGACCGTGAACAAAGCACCCGTGTGGGAGCTTCTAGAGACCTGTCACGCAAGGCCTTTAAATTTCGGTCCAGTGTGTTGTTCGCTGGTGCGTTGACTATCGGTCCGCTTTTCGGGATCAGCCCTTATCCTCATGCACCCAATGAGACAACCGGAACGTGGACGGGGCAGAACCTCATTGGCTGGGGGCTGCCCAGCTTGGGCGGGCGGTAGCTGTCCAATGAAGTGCGAAGACTTCTCCCACCGTCGAGAGGACAATTGTCAGACTGCATCATTCGTGTCATTCGCTCGGAGTTAGGAGTATCATGGTTGTATCGGCTAAACATACAGATCTGTGTATGCGGGAAACTTCAAGTTTTCTCCTTGACGGAAATGTTCTCCCTCTCTCATCTGTATATAGTGCGCATCTTCGTGATTCTACGCGTTTTCATTCTATTGTTGCACCAGATAGAAGTGCTTACGTGGTCTATACTCATAAATGATATTTTTTGCTAGTAATATTTATTTGGTTAGCAGTTTATTTGAAGGAACTGAACTCTACATTCCATCTGCGGGACCGTTGAGAAACAATAGTTGGATTGGGCTTTCCAGTAGTCGGTTTTCTCCTGTCGAGTACAATATACTACTCATTTTTCAATTCAGTAATACATTTAAATTACGAAGCCACTGTTGCACTATTTTCTGAAGAAGGGTTTTAACGTGTGCCAAGTGTATAGTGCTTAAAAAGGTAAGCGGAAAACAATGTTTCAATTTCATTTGATCTTTTTATTTTGAGAAATCAAGCGCTGAACTTGAAATGATTTTCATACTAGTCAGTGAATTACCATGGGCTCCAGAATATAGACAAAGAAGGATTGCATGGTTATGGTACTAGTGATCAGTTAAGGGGGATTCGTGTACCTCCATCTGTCGATCTCTTTTTTGTCCTATTTATGGGTATTCCACATATCACAGTGTGAGGACAACGGTGTTCGGTAACGTGTGACCACGACCTCCGTGTGTCACACCGTGTTGATAGACACGTCATACTGATGACCGAATATTTTCACTGCGCCAAAAGACCAAGAGAGGCTGTTATGAGGTGGATAGTCAAATATGTGCAAGAATGTAGGTCTTTCCCCTGAGGTGTGACCATCTCCTTAATAACATCAACCAATCGACTGCTATTGTCTATGATAACCTCCCTAGGCGTGTGTATGTGTACGTTTGCCTCCTGGAGAGATAACATTTCTAATTGGCATTATTATAAGAAATGAACGATTCACAGGTTAGAACATAACTTTTGATTGGCACTCTATGGCTGAATCCAGACCATTGGTTTGTAGGCACATATATGCCGACCTTGCGACGGAATGTGTGTCCCCGGGGATTACTATTTGAATGATAGAGCAAGCATTGATGGTGCTTGTTCCAGCCCTTTTTCAAGAATCTCACCTAGACTGTACTGATGAACAGTCACCGGTAAAGCAGACAGAAACATCTTACTTTAAAAAAGATAACGTTTTCAATTTAAATTCAATCGTGTATTTACTTATAAGATCTGAAAGAACTAACAACTGATTTGAACCCTTCAAAGTGGTCATTGCCTGTGCATGTTGTTGTGCAAGTTGCAGCAAGTCCTAACTGCTGCATAGGATCGAAACTGAGAAAAACGAAATAGGAATGACCATCTTAAGTGAGTGTTGTTTACAAACCGTGTAACTCCGAGCCTGCGACATAATGGTCCAGTCCACAAAGCAGTAGCGCGGTGCTCCTATGAAATAACCCATTTGGGATTGGTTGTTCAGCTTGATGCATCTTATAACATTCAATCGAGATTCTCACCGTCGGACTGCCTAGGACATAGTGTCACTCAAAGAAAATGGTCACCCAAAAGTTGGCTTTTCACTCCGATACTTCAAAAAAGTACTCTCAAAAATAAAAATCAGGAAATCGACAACTGTCACCAGAGGCTGAATGCAACTGGTAAAACGGAATTCGAAGAGAAGTCTGGGGCGATGAAATCTACTTGCCCAAAATTGGAAAAGTGGAGAGCAGGAATACACTTTTGACGGTATTACGAGGATTTTAAAAACAGCTTTCGTTTATGTACTGCAAAAGGACTTGTTGACCTGATGCTCGACAACTACAATACTTTCAAATGAACAAATAAAACAGTTACCTTTGCGTAAAGGACATCCTTAATTTAGTCTCCATTCAGCAAAAATTGTACTTCGAAACGTTACCGTTGAATCGTGAGCACCTATGACGATTCTAAAAGCGGACAGCAATTTGATCCGAAACAGTAACGAATGTTTGATCATCACCGAAACTAAATCATATCTCTCGCCAGCAATCATGGGTGCACAGGGAGAATGTGAGTGATTAGCAAAAACGTTTAGTACAGCAACCATAATGGCGAAGATACTAGAACGAGTTATATTAGTATAGGCCGTCGAAAGTTGTGTCAATCGCACATTCTCTTGCGCCTCTAGTGACTCCGGCTCTCGCACTTATACTATTTGCCCTCTCTTCTTACCTGGGAAATAGCAAAGGAAAATGAAATTTCATAGTGATACTGCCAGTCTTTTTGGACTGTTCAGCATCAGTGTCTCTACACCTTCCGAGTGAGCCACGTAAAAAGTCGAAGTCAAGGCTTATCATAGACTAACTCGGAACTCTAACCCCGTTTAATCTTTACATAAAGGGTTTGGATAGCAGTAAGAATAAATTTAATTATTCATATTATCGCATGAACATTGGTAAATGGACTGTTATAGGGTTTTGTCGAAAAGTAACTTACATAGATAAGTGATAGGAGCACGAAAAACGTGAGTTGGACTCGAAAAAGTAGGGCTGACAATTTACGCAGCTCTTTATAGTACCAGCTTTTATGGCCGTGCTCTGAGATAGCTCTGTGGTAATAACTTTATTGAACCGTACGATACGATTAGTTCATTTTAATGCTGTATTCACCAGGATCATTGTTCCTCCAACTAGGTGGCATTGATTCTTTTTATTCGTGATTTAACCATACAATCCAAACGCATACGACGTGCATTGCGTGTGATCAAATGCGCTTTGACGACAGACGGAGGAATATGGTTGTCCAAGCCTTTAGATTAATCCAACTTGCATTAGAGACACTGATAACGCTCCTTGTGGAACATCATAAGTCCCCCCCCAGCTATTAGTTCTCGTTTGTAATACGAAATAGTGGTTTGTTTTCAAGGACATCTGAAAGGAGACTTCACTGCAACCTCATACTTCGTAACGATAGATTTAATTTCGTTGCTAAGGGATGATCGCGAGGTTGAGTCAAATAATTCCTGCGTTGTTAGGTAGTTCTCCGAATTTTTTACTAGCCTCCAGGTTTTAGGATCGTGGTCAGTGGGGAGCAATGTTTGTAGACCAATGATATGTGGGATATCGTCTGCGAATATAAAGAAAAGGTGGAGCCATTGACAGATTCTTGTTGAGACAAGTGGACCGTGTCAATCGGTGCTGATAATGAATCCTTAAATTGGACTGGTGGGATTGGATGCCAGGTACATTCGTTATTCCAATCAGGCAGCACCACATTTTTGAAGCTAAGATTGCAGTTTAGGTGGTTGACTCGATTCAAATAGCTAGAGAAGTTCAAATAGACTGTGGAAAATTTTGACACTGACAAGACTTTTTTGCCCCAAGCGGACACCTGTGTAATAAAATACCTTCATATAAGTCTTCGGTTTTATAATTCCCCACATTTAATCCTAATCCAAATGAAATCAGACAGAGTATTGCTTGCGTTTACCACTTGATCGATACCTATGAAAAACTCGTCGGTTTGTGTTCGATATACCGGTTAATAATCACTCATTTCCGGTTTCGTTTTCCCTTAATCTTTCCCACCCATGCTTTGTTTCTCTCGGGGTATGGCCAACTCCTCCTCCAAATCACGCTCGCTAATGGGACCCGTTTACATTGGTATGCAGAGGTCAAGTTATTTCTTTCCTAGCATCCATGCTTGTGGCCAGTTTCTCTGGGATAAGTGTGGCTTTTGCCACTCTAAGCAAGCGAGTGGCTGCTCTGATCGGTAATGCCATCTCGCTCTCACTCCTTCCCCCGGCTGTCAATTGTGTAAGTTGAGCAGATAAAATCTTGCATGTGTCTTACTGTGTTGTTATCCTATGACAAAACATGGTGCACGTCATTCAGTCTCAAATTTACAGTAATGATCAATGGTACACTGACAGGGAAACCGTGTATATCGGTTTTAGTCTTGTTGGTCAATGATGTCAAGAGTACCCTTACATTGACTAGTCATATTCTCTACGTTCTAAAAGGATGAATTTTATTCTCCAGTACACTCACGTTTCCACAAGATCTGACATAAGCACGAGCATTTTTCTCACATTAAAGCTCACGGACAATCACCGATGTCTGAGGGTGGGGTTAAGAGGTCACTTACCCGTGAAACGGCTTATGGAGTGCATGGATCAGGCGCGACCCCAAATTGGGTCATTCACACCTAATTATTGCTCTACAGGTAGCACCTAGCTATAGAAGATAAGCTTATGATGAGAATGAAAGGGTCAACGTTCATCGTGGATACTGACCGCTATGAGTAACCGAGCGATCGTACTGCGGTAAATCTAAATGAGTTATATGTGCTACCCTCGGGCAAGAGGCTTTTGAACCTCGCAAACTACAGCGTAATCGTCATTGATGCGTGCTTTACGGGCTAAGTAAGGGTGCGTACGCATCAACTTTGGGTCCATCATTACCCTGTGAATGGGACGTGGAAATTAAAAAGGTTATTTTCTCGTGAGCTCTCCTTAGGTTCCTCAACATGATGGCTACATGCAAATAAGTTATATAACTGTAAGTTGATGGGATAATGACTCCGGGGTATAAAAGTAGCCCCCTTAGATGTTCAAATTTATTCAAATGTTTCTAACATGTACATCCATCTGCTTATCAGATGATTTTATGTGCACGAATTCAGTTACCTGCGGACTATTCAACCACGCGCCATATTCAATTTGCTTCATTTTTCAATGATTCCTTAATCTGCGTTATTTTCCCAACAAATTCTACGATTGAGGGGACGTGAACCCTTGTCTTATGCCTTTGATCATGGAAATCTCGTGACTTCTTGTTCAATGAAATCTATCTTCAAAGTTGAAAAAAATGTCATAGTTAATTCGACAAATACCCTCATTTGTTTGGTTTTTCCGTAGGAACTAGTCGTACCATTACTTATAACGTGCTTTTTGATCCTATTATGTGACTCTCGAACCTCTGTGAATTTTTGAGGCTCGAGTGGAAATATTTGTTTAGATATTATGCATACATATAATCGTTTCATAGAGAACGCGTTGTTCACCACATATGAAAAAGTGTATGTTATATTAGTTGATTCAATTAAAAACTACTCGTTATAATTTTCCTCTCCTATCGTTCCAGGGACAACTGCTGTTGCTTTCGTTCTTGGCGTTTACTCCAATTGTATCCGAACCGGTTCGTGTTTGTCATATTGTTCTTACACTACTCGTTAGTAACACATTTATGATTGGTATTTTGTTATCTTCTATGACTTGTTTTCACACGTTTGATCGCGTTGTACTCGTTCCACTGAATAGCTGATTGCATGATATTGCTGTATTCCACCATGATTCTTTTGTTGCCCGTTATTCACACACACCTCACTGTTGCTCCGTGTGATCAAGATCTTGCACTGACCAGTCTCCAACCGAAACCCAAAGCCGATCGCTAATTGTTGGGGCAAATGGCATGCCACATTTGCAGGGATTTCAGGTTTTACCGGTCAGCGAATGAATTACCGATCGCCCTCAAACGAAATTGAGAAAATATTGGACTGAGGACAATTGCAGGTCTTGAAAAAACCGCTTGGAAAACATGTATAGAGGTCCTCAAACAACGTGGATTTCGCACACTATCTTAATTGTTAACTGTAGTGGCCGGGGGGCATTAATCACGCTATATTTTTAATTCCATACTATAATGTGCCCATTGTACCTGGGTTCATTTGAAACTGTGGCATGCCGCACAATGTCGTGTATTTGGCTGTTCTTCTCAAATACGCTTTCGTTAGAGAATGCGGGAACTGGGGATGGTTTGAACTCGTAGGGGATGCCTGTGTTTTTCACACAAAATATTTGTATACTCTTATGTGCTTTTGTTTTACAAATTTCTAACCTATAACATGTGAATATGTTCCTTTTTGTCTATCTAGTTCTGAACAAATCCTATGACTCGGCCTTATCCTTTTGGGTTGGATAACGCTAGCTGTAATGTATCTGACTGAAACCCATTTTCTGCACCTAATGAAAGGAAAAATGCCAATCCACGGTGTGGCAATTCTGATGTTATCAAGATCAATTTTCCGTGTAAACCATTTAAAAATTGTATACGAGTTCCGCAATTACCATTTTAAGGTGAAATTAGTTAGTAGTCTATTTGATAGTTTGGGTACCGGGACAAACTCACTGGTGAAAACAATCAAATTCTAGTTTAAATAAAGACAGGTAGGAGAAGTGGGTTTTGAATGAATACACCATAAGGAAGTGTGACAACAGAATGAACGTATTTCAAGTATACTTTCCATCTACTTATTTACGTCAAACATCTAGTCTTCTTATCCCAAACTGGAACTCGGAAACTATACGGAGATCGGAATATCAATCAAAGTTTTTATCTTCCCATTCATTCAGATAGTGGTATTTTTTCGTTGCTGAAAGTCCGGTAGTCGATAATGCCTAGTTGTACCTATTTTCGTGGTCTCACTCTCATTCTCTTAGTCTTACTTCCCTCCATTCCAGTGAGACGCATATCAACTCCATTCTATTTAACTGAACTCAATACAGCCACGTCAAATTATGCTTCTCGTCCTCCCACCTCATTCACACAACCTCTCTCTCTCTCGCCTGCACCTTCATTTTGGTTACGCATCACCGGCATGACCTAACATACACACACACACACATACATACACGCATATAGCCCGATCTGGACAACGGTAACACGACTATCGCTTACGCGACTGCACCTCGATGCTCGTATCCATGGGTACGAGATTATGTGTACATCTATGTGGATGATCCGTGCGATGCGTACAAAGAATTCGCCATGCTGGGAGCATTCAGTTTCCTACTGGTCACCATGAATATTCTCCTCATTCTGGTCACCGGATACACTGTGAATACGGTATGTGTGTGTGTGTGTGTGTGTGTGTGTGTGTGTATGATTTCGCTATCACTCAATCATATTCGATCAAATATTGAAAAACTTAACTGTTTTCTAAATTTCCAAGTAACGGAATGTTTACGCTCGTTTTGCCCCTCTCGTGTGCGACCTGTTTACCGTAATGTAACTAAATCGATCGTCTCCAAACGGAATTGCCACAGTCCGGATGGGCAGATTGTGCAAAATTTGATAAGAGAACAAGGGGCTAGGATATGACGATACAACTACAGGCGGATTATTAAGTTTCTACCTTTCTGTTCACTACAAAATGCATTTTTTTGCACGTGCTCGAGTATTTGGGGTCAAACGGTTTGGTTCCCTGTGACCAGCTCTTAACGATCTGTAACTGTTCGAATTCCGAACAATTCCATTCAAATGTGACGATATAAAACTGACTAACATAATTATCACTTAGGGACTTGACATCATTAGCGAGTTCAAACCAAAAGACTTCGGTTCATTGAAAGACAATAATTATAGGATATCGAGCATTTCTCGGGCGCTAGTGCCCCGGTGTCAAAGGTAACCAAATGATCACTGTGGAAGACGTGAATCTCATCACCACCACTCTCTAACTTCCTCCATTCTGTGTTTCATGGCAGCTCTTTGAATGGCCGTTCCATCTTCTTGAAAAATCTATCATTGTGTATTCATTAAAAGAAAGTAAAAAATGTAAACTGAGGGAAATACCCACCGAACTGCGAACAAGCACGGTGTCAATGTGACGACGACAACAACAATAGTAATAGGAGGTACAGGTCATCTTATCTTGATTAAAAACATTCCAATTACCGTGTTTTATCTCATTACTTCCCATGAATTAGATTGCCTTACATGTACTGTACTATGTATCGCAGAGGGAGTGGTAGAATGCATTTCTTCACATCTAAAGAACAGACATATGCATACAGCACAAGTTCTTTGGATGAGATTGCTCTATTTATCCAACTTGAAGGCAATAACCTCAATCCTCTTCCAAGCCTCATGGCTTCTTTCGATTTGCACACATCGAATGCTGCTGAAGCGTCTGAAATATCTCAATACCACACCGCTTCTCAACTGTGTTGCTTTGACCGTTGCTGTCCGTTTGAACCGGAATCCTGATTGATCGTGTGGCGAGATGGCTTGACCATGGTTAAAAGTTGAGTGTTGAAAGGAATTCATTATGAACAAAACAGGGAAAATGTAAGTTAAAGAGCTGAGTATTACAATACTTCTGTTTCAAATTTATTAACAGTGAACATCCAACTCCCAATCTACTCAGTAAACAACCCCAAAGAAACCATCGGAAACGGATGTCCACAATACTATGCCAGCAATGGTTGCAAATCCGCCTTTGAAGCGGAACTATCTGATCTCCTTTCAGCTAAACCATCAGTCGAAGGACTCAGTGAACACTGGATGATAATCAATAAACCAATCCAAATTTCAATCAAAACAACGGTGGATTATGGGGCAGGATCAGAGAAAAAGTACTGGATCTCCTCCTTCTTGAATGCCTTGATAAAAGCTGGCAAAGCCAATCCATCTGATGCCAAATAAGATATAGGGCGCAAATCCCTTAAACGGCAGTTCACCAAGAGCCTGAGGAATGATTGGTGGATGGGGAAGTGTAGAGAGCTGGAGAAGGCTGCGGCAATAGTGGCAATCCTTTTTGTCTAATTAAGAGTAAGGAGCCCAATGTAATGCTGCGCAGCGCCTCCGGTGAGTTCATCTCCGATGCGCAGAGAAAAATGTCTCGGTGGGTGGAACACTTTAGTCTTCTTCTCAACCGCCCTCAAATCCAACTTCCGTGTGCATCTTCATCGCCATCTTCTCTATACGAAGTTAACTGCACTCTGCCATCAGTAGTAGAAGTCTCAAATATCATCAGTCATCTCAAACCACGGAAATTTCCCGGTGAGGACGGGATACCCTCCGAAATCTACGCGAATTGTTCTTCAGCCATTTTAAACCCTCTTCATAGCTTACTGTGTACAATCTGGGAAACCAAAATTTGCCCAATTGACTGGACCACATCGATTTTACTACCCTTCCCCCAAAAAAGGGTGACAAGTCAGTGTGCGAAAACTATAGAGGCATCAGCTTACTGGACGTAGCGGCCAAAGTTTTTGCACAACTTTTGCTGAACCGCTTTGTTGCAGCAAGGCATGCACGCACTCGTCCTAACCAGAAAGGATTCCGCCCCTGTGTGGGCTGCGTCGATCAAATATTCACTCTATGTCGACTCTTGGAACATCGCCACAAGTTTCAACAATTTACAACAGTCTGCTTCATTGATTTTCGTGCGGCATTCGATTCCGTAGATCGCGAATCCCTCTGGAACATAGTTCTGGCCGATGGTGTCCCAGTCAAACTTGTCAACTTAATGAGATCCTACTATTCTAACACTTGCGCCGGAATCCGTATCTACGGAGGGGAATCTTGCTCGTTCGGGTTAGGATCTGGAGTGCGACAGGGGTGCCCGTTGTCCCCAGTGCTGTTCAACTTTGCCGTGGACTGGATAATGCGTCGTTCGATGGAGGGATACCAGGGAGTTCAGATCTTTCCGAACTTATGGCTTACCGACTTAGAATTCGCGGATGATATTGTCGTCTTTGGCGAGGATATGTCTAACCTCCAATCATTAATCGTTGACCACATCAATCGACTGGCCTCCGAGATCGGCCTAGAGGTGAACACATCAAAAACCAAAACCTTTACGATAGTCCCAATTCATCTCAAGATTGCTTTACTACTAAACGGTGAGCGGATCGAATCCATCGAAAGCTTCAAATATTTGGGCTCAACCATTCTCCTTAACGGCCAAGCTAAAGATGAGGTGCAAAGGCGCGTCGACGCGGCAAGAAGAGCGTTTTTACGATTGATGAATTCCCTTTGGCGCAGAAATGAAATCAGCCTCAAGACAAAAATCCGAGTTCTCTCCGCAGCAGTCCGTCCTGTTTTGCTATACTGCTGCGAAACCTGGCCACTCAGAGTCGAAGACTGTTAGATTAGAAGTCTTCGATCACTGGTGCTTAAGAATCATTCTGGGAGTTCGATGAAGGGATCAACTCTCAAATGAAGCGTTCCGAAATAGGTGTTTCAATCTTGTACGGCTGCGGACGCTAATACAACGGCGACGACTGCAATGGGTTGACCACATTCTTCGCAAGCCCGATAACGACCTGACAAAAGCTGTCTTGGCACCGCCTCCCTGCCCGAACTGGCGATGTCGGCACGGTGGGCAGCTGAAAGCCTGGCTATACACGGTGCGAAAGGATACTGAAAACCTTGGTCTCCGCTCCGTCTACGGCGTTCGCCAATGGAAGTCAAACTAGATCACAATATGTGCTGATCTTGCCGCAGATCGCCGAGCGTGGGCAGCGGCAATTCGAGATATCCATGAAGCCGGCTTATCCTCTCCCAGGAGTCAGACGCCGTAAAGTAAAATAAAGTAAGCCCAATGTAAGTAGGTGTGAGGTAATCAAGGATTCTGGCGGAAAACTGATTCGTATTTAACAGTGACATCTTGAACGATAGGTAGAACACTTTAAGACAGTTTAGCTGTCCCCCGTCGATATAAGATATGATTCAACTGGACAAACAACGCCATCTGACATCAGTCCTTCATGTGAAGTGGAGGTCAATTGGGAAAAAATTATCTCCAAGGTATGAGGCCTCCGGCCCGGATGGGTCGCTCCCGTCGGTTTTTAAGGATGGAAGTTCAGCTGTGGATCAGGAATTAACGAAACTCCTGAGAACAGTGTGGGAGAGGAAAACAGACTTCAACGGACCGTTGTGAACGGGTCATCATACCGATTTACTAGGTGACGAATCCTCTTGTGAAAACCACAGCTGAATTATTTTAATCAACACCGTCACTAAGCTTCTGGTTGGTATTATACTCCATCGATTGTCTGCCGCACGTGAACGGTGCACTGGTGGGAACCAGGTTGGTTTTGGATTTGGTAGAGACTGTATCCACCACATCTTCACTCTTCAACAAATCCAAGAACACGGACACTCTTTTCGAA